CTTCCCCCAGAGCCCTACTCTGCTATTGTATTCATGTATAACGCATCTCTTTGGCTGTACACGGGACTTTATTGTGGAGTTCAGTCTCCAGACACGGCTTACCTTCCTTACATCACATTGTGTCCGGTGCGGCTGAGCACACAGGAGATCCTTGTGGGACCGACTTAGTGTCATTATGGAACCTATTGACTATTGTTCAACGGGGTTTTTTTTACAAAATTACATTGTAATAATTTCTTGGTTTTACCTAAATTTTATGTACAAAAGACTCAAGAACCATTCACAGCTTCATGTGAGAGTCTGAATATTCAGTGGGGGGGGAATTTATCAAAATCTGGAGCAGCTGTGCACGGCAACCAATCAGCTTCTCTCTTCAGTTTGTTCAGTTAACCACTTGCTGACCGCGGTGTTACACCCCCCTTCCTGCCCCGGCCATTTTCCAGTATTCAGCGCTGAGGGACTTTGACTGACAATTATTCCGTCATACAACGATGTACTGACATTAATTTTATACCATTTTTTGGGGGACAGGTAGAGCTTTCTTTTTTGGTATTTAATCACCGCTGCAGGTTTTTTTTTTTTTTTTACTATATAACTATATATGTAAATTTTGAAAAAAAACCACCTGTTTTCCCGACGTTATGTTATAAAATATTTATTATTACCCATATTTTTGGTAAAATATAAAAGTCGGGGGTCACGTCGGGTATATAGACATCAAACATGTCAAGCTGTAAAATTGCGCGCGCCAACAAAATCGCTAAAAACTACCATATCCAAAATTGGCCATAGGCGACGTTATAAAAGCTTTTACCGCTCATCAGTTTGGTGTTATCGGTGATCGATGGGCCGAGAATTATCGCTCTCACTCCGACGTTCGCGGCGATATGTAACGTGTGCGGCACAATTGTCGTTTTTGCACGTAGGCACGCCCGACGCGTGTATAAGTGCGTGCACGCGGGTTACTTGAAACCTTTTTGGGTGTTTTTTTTTTAATATGAGACTTTAATTTAATTTTTTTTTTTAATTATTTTTTACACTTAACTTGATTGCTATCACATAGGGGGCTAAAAATCCCCCAATGTGATAGCTAGAAAAAAAAATGACAGGTCTTCTTAAGGGAGAACTATGAGGGAAATCGCTCACCGCTCGATCCTGTCACAGCCCTCTGCCGTGACAGGGGAGGGGCTGGATTCCCCCCTCCCCGCTCCGATCCGCCAGCGCTGACTGGCGGAACGGACGGGGGAGGGTACCGCTGGCTCTGCCTCTAGATAGGCAGAGCCAGCTGTCACTCACGCAGCTGGGCGGATCCCGACGTCTCAGTATACCGCGAGCTGTAGCTCCCTGTATACTGAGCTTAACATGGCAGGTATGTGTGACTGGAGGACGCTAGTTTGTGTCCTCCCGTTACCCTAAGGAGAACTATGGGGAAAAACACTGACCTCGTAGTTCTCCTTTAATGGAGACATCAGGGGTCCCCAAGACCCCCTAATGTCACCTAGGGACCCCCAAAGAAGCTGATGAAGCACAGATCTGCTTGATCAGCTTCGTCTCCTGGCTCCCAGCCAGAGAAATGACAGCTAAAGGCGGAAGTGATATCATACACGTCGCTTCTGATTTTAAAGAGAGAATGGGGGAGAGATCAGCTGTGGGGGAGAGATCAGCGGTGGGGGAAATGCTGATCTCTCCTCCTTACGGGAAGGATCTGCGTCCGCCCGTTATTTTACGATGGGCGGACGGCAAGGGGTTAAGATTTGAAAATGAGAGAGAAGCTGTTCACCCTCTTATGTGAGCTCGGCCTATTCTGAGGAGAACTCCAAGCCCTAGAGATGGAGGGAAGAGGTCACCTCCGGCTATGACCTCTGACTTTAAGTTTGTGTATAGCCAAAACGTTTCATAGTTATGGAGTGTGGAACCCCTGTCGGGGTTTTTTTTATTGCTGTCTATGTCCCCAGTGGAGAGATTCTCCCTTTATTTGTCCAGGTGTCACCAGAGTGATGCTCACAGCCAGACCCTCTCCTGCTCCTTCGACATGTTTCTCCTCCAATGAGTACCAAGTATCTCCTAAATGGTAGCGCAGTGCCGCGGTCCGGCTTTGTGAGTTTGCACTACTTGTAATAAAGATTGTTGAATATGAAGAACACAGCGACGGCGCGGCTTCTATCTCTTACACTCTATGCCCAGTAGTGATAGTGCGCTGAAACCTTCATGGCCGGAGATAGTGGGACACACACACACCAGCAGATTTCACAAAGTCTCGTTTCCAAAAGAAACCTTTTTAATGGGAAGTGAACCGTCGGGTTCTCGTTGGGAACGCTACATACCTGGAGGCGTAGGCACAGCGGGGACGGACTTGCTCGGCTCTAACATCTCCGGCTCCTCCCTCAGAGATGATCCGGCTTGGTTACTGCTGTTGAATTCCTGGTTGTTGCCGTCTGTGTATACAAGCTCCGTGTTACATAGAACGTGAGATGTGTCTGGCGTGATGTTCCCTGCTGTATCTTCTCTCTCAACTCCACCGACGTTCCACTGAGAGAGGACCGTACAGTCCATAGTTCCTGGAGATTCTGGTGCTGCTGATAAAGAGAGCTGGCCAAGCCCGAGGTCCGATTTGTATGCAGCATTTTGCAGGCTCCCCAGTTCTCTCATTATACTTTCTTTGTACCACATCGGACACTGAGAAGCTCCCCCAGCATAATGCATGCCGCCCATCATCTCCGACACCCGGCTGGGCAGCGTCACTGCGACGGGATCCGAAATGGTGAGGGGAGGAGATCGGATTGCTTTGCGACCCACCTTTGGGGACAGAGCTTGGACGACCTTCTCAGCAAAAGATGGAGCTTTGGGAATCCTCTCTGCACTGGGGCTGCGGTCAGGGGTTAGGAACGGACTGAACAGCCTCTCCTGGAAAGGGGACATGGGCTCAGAGCTATTGCCGCTGGCAGGGGTCTGGGCTCCGATATGAAAGCGCTCTCTGCCGCTGCCCGGAGTGGTGTCAATGTGGAAGAGGTGGTTGCTATCCAGCCCCTCGTTGTCCAGCTTGGGCGGGCTGCACTGGAAGGACATTGGGTCAAAGTCTAAACTGGCCACACCAATGTCTGGCGGACTCAGATCCTCGTCATCATGAGTGCGAGAACTTAACATGGCAGGTATGTGAATAAGTCCCTCGTCGCCATCGCTGTCCTGATCGTGGGGCAGATTGTCATAGGAGTTGCAGCGGTTACATCCCTCTCGCAGGTCTCCATTATAGGAAGCAGACAGAGCATCGCTGCTGGAGCGCGGGCGCCTCGGCCGGAAAAGCTTTGATTCCACTGTAAAATAAAGTCAAGAATTGTAAATGAGCCGTCTCATTCCCTGAAACCAAACGCATGCAAAGCGGGAAAAAGCGTCTGGATGTGACCGCGCCTTCTGTGCAGCAATATAGATTGTCTCCGATTGGTTAATATGACACATCGGGCGTAACAAATCACATCTGAGCATCGCAGTCTTAGATTGTTTGCAGTTTTTGAACTCACCGCTGCGCTGCTAATGTTAAACTGATTATTAATTATACAACGACTTACCACTAGCAGTACAACGAAGAGTGCAAATATGATTGACTGGTGCAGACACAAAACATATTCAGCACCAATGCATGCACTGCAGTGCTCAGAGCAGCCCCAATGCATGCACTGCAGTACTCAGATCAGCTCCAATGCATGCACTGCAGTACTCAGATCAGCTCCAATGCATGCACTGCAGTACTCAGATCAGCTCCAATGCATAGTTACATAGTATTTGAGGTTGAAAAAAAGACACAGGCCCATCAAGTTCAACCATTGTGTGTGCGTGTCTCGTATGCGTGCGTGTATAGAACAGTCCCTGTGTGGTCTAGTATTTAAGTTTACCTGTACCCCTGTATGTTACGGTCTCTTATGATGGAATCTAATTGCTTTTTGAACGAATCAATACTCTTTGCTGATACCGCTGCTTGTGGCAGAGTTCCAAAATGTCACCGCTCTAACTGAAAAGAAGGCTCTACGCCCCTTTGTGGATAAATATTTTCTCCACCAATTTTAGGTGGGGGCCTCTAGTCCTTGTTGCAGAGTTTACAGTAAAAAAGTGAAATGCATGCACCTCAGACTATCCCCAATGCATGCACCTCAGACCTCTGATTATCCCCAATGCATGCACCTCAGACCTCTGATTATCCCCAATGCATGCACTTCAGACCTCTGATTATCCCCAATGCATGCACTTCAGACCTCTGATTATCCCCAATGCATGCACCTCAGATTATCCCCAATGCATGCACTTCAGACCTCTGATTAGCCCCAATGCATGCACTTCAGACCTCTGATAAGCCCCAATCCATGCACTTCAGACCTCTGATTATCCCCAATGCATGCACCTCAGATTAGCCCCAATGCATGCACTTCAGACCTCTGATTAGCCCCAATGCATGCACTTCAGACCTCTGATTATCCACAATACATGCACTTTACACCTCAGCCCTAAACCCTGTACATTTAGAAATGCAGGGCACCACTATAGCCTGTGTCCTCAGCCACCAACAGGCTTTCAGTGACATCAGGAAAGTGGATAGCAGAGGCTTTGTAATTGAAAATATAGTTACATAGTTACATAGTTACATAGTATTTGAGGTTGAATAAAGACATTAGTCCATCAAGTCCAACCTATTAGTATCTCATTCTAGGAGTACCTGTACCCCCGTATGTTACCTGTACCCCTGTATATTACCTGTACCCCTGTATATTACCCGTACCCCTGTATAGTACCTGTACCCCTGTATATTACCTGTACCCCTGTATATTACCTGTACCCCTGTATATTACCTGCACCCCTGTATATTACCTGTACCCCTGTATATGACCTGTACCCCTGTATATTACCTGTACCCCTGTATATTACCTGTACCCCTGTATATTACCTGCACCCCTGTATATTACCTGTACCCCTGTATATGACCTGTACCCCTGTATATTACCTGTACCCCTGTATATTACCTGCACCCCTGTATATTACCTGTACCCCTGTATATGACCTGCACCCCTGTATATTACCTGCACCCCTGTATATTACCTGCACCCCTGTATATTACCTGTACCCTTGTATATTACCTGCACCCCTGTATATTACCTGCACCCCTGTATATTACCTGTACCCCTGTATATTACCTGCACCCCTGTATATTACCTATATTAATGGGTATATTAATGTATATTATAGTGAGCTGTCACCTACAGCCAAGGGCAGTGCATACGGCGTCACATGCCTGCACATGTGCCAGTGTTTGCTGACGCCTGGTATAAATCTACTCTACGGCACACAGGCAGATGTTTTACTATCAATGGCAGCCTGGGAGACTCTTACAGTCTGTAAAGCCTTCACGCTGGGGTTTAACAAATCGGTTAGACAGAAGCAACACATAGAAAAGCCAAGAACTGTTGCTCAAGCTATAGGATCTCTGTAAAGGATCTCTGTGTACAACGACTGCTTCTATTGGTCAGAGAGTGCTCAATATTCCCCTCTAGAGAAGTCCTATGTGACCCAATCCTCTCATCACAAAATGAACAATCTAATGTGCAGCATACTACAAGACACATGAAGCTGCAGCATCAGACTTACTGTCAGTGGCATGCAGAGAACTTAGCGACTCTTCACTCTTAGCTGAACGCATGGTTCCTGTGTCACCTCTTCCTCCTACAGAGACAAAAATCCATTTCCAGCTAAATATCTGACTGGAACCATCGGCACATCTATGGCACGGGTTATATAGCGGCCACCACGCCTCACCTGCCATGGCCATGGCCTTCATCTCGGTAGGTTCACTTGGATTACGAATCAGCTTCCTCTTGGACATTGACGAGGATGATGAGGACTTTCCCAGGTTGAAGAAGGAGCGCCAGCTGCCCACCGGAGACTTCTTCATCTTAGGAGGAGGCCTTTTCCTTAGAGGACAAACACAAATCCATTACTGACAATAGTGAAACATTGCTGATCCGGAAATCCATTTATTTGACCCAGGAACAGAGCCCAGATATCCCACACATTCCATCCTGCTGTCTGAAATGTATTAGGGACAGAAGTCCACCCACAAAAAAATGTGTTCGCATGAGAAACAGCTCGGGTTTTAACACAGTGGTGCAATGTTGGGGTTTCACCAGCAGGTGGTGCTGCATACAGGGTTAATCCCAGAAATCTAGCGATCGGTGGGAGGGGGACGCCTTCAGTTTAAAGGAGAACTATGAGATGAGTGATTTCCACTCACCTCATAGTTCTAAGCCGACCTGTGACAATGAGGCTGTCACAGGTCGGCTCAGTAGATCGGGAGGTGAGGGAAAACATACGAGTAGCTCTCTATATACTGAGCTTAGGGTGTCGGGAGGATGCTAGTTTGTGTCCTCCCGTTACCCTAAGGAGAACTATGGGGGAAAAGCCCTGACCCCATAGTTCTCCTTTAATGCATGGATGGGCCTCATTCAGGGGAATTCCAGCTCTTTGTGAAAATTGATAACGATCTTACTTTATCCAAAACCCGATGGTATACTTGGATGAGTATGTGCTGAAGACTGGAACAGGAAATGTTGGGGGAATAGGAGATATATCGGGAACTATACATTTCTAAACCAAATTCTCTGACTAAAGAAACACGATTTCATGTAGAAGAAAAGCCGATACTTATTTTAAAGTAGAACTTCAAAGCGTGTACTTTTATATGCCCTTTATTTACAATGCAAATATTCCAGAGGTGATAAAACACCAGAAAACAATGCTTGGCATTGTGGAAGCATTTCTGCAGCTCCTCCACCAGGTGGCAGTCTTGGCTCTACTGGTCGTGTGCATGTAAATCCTCCTCCATTCACTTCTCACCTCTCAGATGGGAAGGCGATGACTGTGTGGAACTTGCCCTGCAATGCGGCCGGTCCTTCTCCCACCTCGATGTATTTGCTGTCACCCACAACGGGGGAATTGATCTGTGCCTGTGTCCGTGCTTGAGCCTCTTCCAGGCTGAGGAGCTTTGTGGATGGTGAAGAAACCAGAAGAGACTTGGGCCGAGACAGGGACGTGTGACCTGAAGATGGAGAAGAGCGAGTTAAAGAAAGCATGTGACGTGGCTGATTCTGACTCTTATACATCCCACAATGTACTACATTCTCATCGTTGTAGAGAGAATTCCTCAAATGTTCCGTGACAAATTTTCTGCTGGTTATAAAAGTTCAACATGCGAAGAGTTTGCTAAGTTGTCATGTGATGCCCGCGGGGAACGGGGATAACAAGGACCATCTGTCCAATGCCAATGTAAAGGACTCTACAATGACACATTGATTCTGATAACATTTCCTCCTAGGATATTATTAATAATGATCAGGGATGCACCGATATATCGGCCGCCGAAAGTGCCATTTTCCTGCCGATACATCGGTGCATCCCTGATTTCTTTCCTCCCCGCTGGGCGCTGCTCTGTGTGACTCTCCTCTGTGGGAGGAGAGAAAGTGTGACAGCCGGCCGAGCGCTGTGAGCGGCCAGAGTCTCTCCTCCCACACCGCTCAGCCACCTATCACAGTCCGGCAGAGCGGTGTGTGGGCGGAGACAGGCCACGCTGTCACAGGAGGCTGAGCTCTCCTCCCCGCACCGCTCGCTCAGCCTCCTGTGACAGCGTGTCAGAGAGGAGAGCGGGTGATCAGTGATCGCTGAGTGTTTGTAGATAATTGAGGACAGAGTCTGGTCATTATATCCTCAATTAGGAATGAATGGGAAGTGATCTACATCCCCTTCTGTCCATTCATAGTTGTAGTTATAGTAAATATACTCTGTCCTCATGTTATCAATGATCAGGAACACTCAGTATAGAGGATTCCTGTTCATTTATAACGGGATTAAAAAAATTAAAACGTTAATAAAAAATAAATATTAAAAACATTTGAAAAAAATACAATTAAAACATTTTCGGTTTCGGACTGACAATTTTTCTAATTCCGGTTTTCAAATTTCTATTTCTAATTAATTACATCGCATCTGAAAATCTGCAAAGGATCATTTCCAAATCTTATAAATAGAAGAAACTTTCACCTTTGTTCATTTTCTCTATTTCTTCTTACCTCGGGCAATCCTCATCATACGTACACACCCAGCGAGTCCCGCGTTGTTGTAATCCGCCGCCGCCATCTTTCTTTCTGACACCATCAGGAGTCGGCTGTCCCTTCCTGGTTCTTGTAGCCGGCCCCCAGATCTCGCACATGTGCAGACGGAGATCTGGCAGCGAGTCTTCCACATTACATGTTACCATAGAGTCAGGAGATCTCCTGAGAGTTCGGCACCTGGGGCCCGGCAGCTTTCTGGGATGTCTGATGTGTGATCCCAGGAGGCCGAGGGCAGAGGAGGACTACGTCATCCTCGCTAGGAGAGGAACGATGATGGAAAAGAGACTGAACTGTAAATTTAGTGCTGCGCGGTAACAAACAATGTCAGAGGACACAAAACCTGCACTTCATGAATACGTCCCTTCTACCGGGACTCTGGGTTAGACTTCAGATCCTCCGATACAATGTTATTTATTGCAGCCCCAGGGGCTTTGGTGGATTTTATTTTAGGGATCTGGTTAGTATACAGATATGAGGCCTATGGTGTGGACTTTGAGTCATCATCCTGAACCTTACTACAAATTATTGACCTGCAATAAGTATACAGGCCAGATGGTCAGAAGTGATGAGCTGCATGCGTACTGTGGCGCGGGTATGGCCCCAGAACCTGCAGCTTACAATGTAAGTCAGAATTGGTGGCTCCTGGGCTTCCATCCTGACACACACACACACACACACACACACACACACACACACAGCATTCCCATCCCCATCGTAGGCGTTCCTGTACATTTGTTGAACCCCAACATGACGCCGCTCACCTGCACCCTCACGTATGACAGAGCTGAGTTTAGGACTGAAGAGAACCTCCACATGGTTCAGGATGAATTCCACCACCACCGACTGGATGCGCACCTCCATGAACGCCGCCGTCCCACTGAAACACGCCGACTCAATCTGCTTGGATCTAAAACGAGAGACAGATACAGGTCAGAGGAGGGGATTCGGGAAGAATGGTTCCAGCGGTCAGTGGGATTTTGTCTCTGTACTCGGCTCCGTCCATACAGAATTCTCTTCAGCTGGAGCAATTATACCGACCACAAAAACGTATTGTTCAGCATCTGTGATGCACTGCATACAGGACCCCGATAGGAGCATTGTGGGCCAAGCACACATAACTAGGATTGGGTCAGTGCCCCATCCAGAGAAGGCTCCTCATTCTGGCTCAGCTGACTAGAGGTGACCATACACAGAAAGACAATGTGAGGCTAAGCGTGCAGCAAGGGCTCCATGTATGATACATGCAGGAGATCAGCGTCTGTGCTGCAAGTGATTGGGGAGGATGGAAAACGTCATCTGTTTTGTAAACTGCTCAGCTGCATAGAAATAAACTACAATTGTGAGATGCTGATTGCATAGACTGCAATGGGAAGATCAACTAACACTGAACTGTGGACAAAAAGGAAAGACCACAGGCAGAGGGCGTGTGGAAGCAAAATAATGGGTGCCGTGTCTGATGCCACTTTAATCCCATGTGTGCTGAAAAATCCCCTTGAAAGGTTTTTACTGCCTCATTCCACCAAAACACAACCATTTCTTCATGTTTATCCCTTAAAAAAATGCTGCACACATAGATTTGCCAAAAATGTAATATGCTCATTAATGTAATGAAATCCCAGCCAGAGTTGTCAGCCCGGCTGGACTGCAGAATTCCTCCTATCCCCTCCCCCCCGCCCCC